ATACACCATTCAATAAAGACCCTGAATGTTGCCATCTGTCATGACATCTGAGATGGTTCCTGGTGATTCTCCAGTAGTTTTTTAAATTATTTTCCTTACTTGGTTCTTCATGTTTCTTATTTCCTATCATTTACAAAAACAAAATTGTCTCCACAAACAACCAGGATTTGAAACAATAAAGACCACCTTCATGGCCCTCATGCATGCTTTTTTTAATGGATTTTGTTATTACCAAATCAAATGGGAGGCTGGGATGTATGTAGTGCATATCTGGGTGAAGATGGAAAGATATTTTTAAGAAATCTGAATCAGAAAGAGTGGTAGTATGATGATAAGAGTTTCCAAGTGTCTGAGACATTTTGTTCAGACAAAATTCTGACTTTTGATAGATTTACAAACCTGGTCAAAACCACATCCATATGTGGTGTGAAATCGGAAACAAATCTGGATTGTGTTTCAGTGTGAATGGTCAGACTGGATTTCAAGTAGTTTTTCCTCATCATTGTAAGGCATCACGTGTACAATGTAATAAGAAGTGTGCAATATTGTCAAGAGTTAAATCCGAATCTATTTATTTTTATTGTTATAGTTCTATATAATATTAGATAATCAATTATATATTAGGTCCATCAGCATATGGCAAAAGGAAATCTCAGGGCCATGAAACATTAGCATCTTTTGAGGCTAGTTGAGGTAAAAGAGAAATGCTGCCTGTAACACCAGTGTAGACAAACTGAATGAAGGTCATGTGAAAAGCTACTCTGAGGAATGAATTACAACAGAAAACCAGCAACGTGCGACGTGCCTCCAAAGTTGCTTGGGCACAACGCCCCCAAAAACGTTTCCTCTGCAAAACGTCAGTCTGTAACACTAATACTCATTTCACTCTTCTTGCCATCCCATTTAAAACTAAAATGAAGAGGAGGAGTGTCAAGAGTTAAATCCTAATCTATTTATTTTTATTGTTATAGTTCTATATAATATTAGATAATCAATGATATATTAGGTCCATCAGCATATGGCAAAAGGAAATCTCAGGGCCATGAAACATTAGCATCTTTTGAGGCTAGTTGAGGTAAAAGAGAAATGCTGCCTGTAACACCAGTGTAGACAAACTGAATGAAGGTCATGTGAAAAGCTACTCTGAGGAATGAATTACAACAGAAAACCAGCAACGTGCGACGTGCCTCCAAAGTTGCTTGGGCACAACGCCCCCAAAAACGTTTCCTCTGCAAAACGTCAGTCTGTAACACTAATACTCATTTCACTCTTCTTGCCATCCCATTTAAAACTAAAATGAAGAGGAGGAGTAATCATGTGTTAAGTTTCTAGAACTGGTGTTCAGTGTGGGCTGAGGTACAGAGAAAGAGGTAACAGTAGTCTGGCACATTGAGTGTTGAGGTAAGAGCTGCTAGTTCTGGTCCTTGCCGAGTCAGGGCTCACCTGGATCCATAGTTGGTCTATGCGTACATGGTTAGCTGAAGCCACTGGAGAAATTGAAATAGAAGTTTAGCATTTTGTGATCAGCCTACAGATTTAAATGGAAGGCTTTTGATGTTTGAAACTAACGACGTGGACCTGATGCTAAACATTACATAGTCTTAAGATGATGGATTGGTGTCCACTCACCTCCAGTACATCAAGTCTGATGGTGCCATCTCCACCTTGATCAAAGGCCTGGAATGCTCCTACAAAGAGAACGGGTTCACTTCAGACAGTATGCATGTATGATTTTTAGCATACACAAGCCCCAAATCAATTGTTGGTAAAAATTTAACACATGAAATATTTCAAGCAGAACCCAGTAAAATCTTTAGTTGTTTAGAAAGCGGTTCTGTATGCATTCCCCACCACTTTTGGTGTTTAAAGAAGTTTCATTTGAAACATTTTCCGAACAAATGTGGAAATTTTCTTTATCCCTACACATTCTGTTTCAACCCTGTTATGCTGAGATTGTGGCAGCATTGTACTAATTCATTCCATCTGTAGCCAAAACATAGGAATAAATTAGTGCGATGTAGCCACAATTTATTAAAATGTTTATTTAATTAATACTTTAATTAATAATTTGATTTATAAAACGTGGCCACAAATTTTTCTGTCACGTGCAGGGCTCTGTATTATTATTTTTTATTTCTGACATCATATTTTATAAAGTCATTTATTATTCAAGCTCACCAGTTCAACTCTGTTATGAGAAAAGGTCAGTCAGCAATTCTTTCCAGAAAAAAAAAAAAACTGTTCATGGAACAATCTTTAAAAAAAATACAATGGTACATTGATATTTGCTTGCTAATACTGTTATTTATCCTTTTTGTCCTGTCTTTCCATCCAAAGACATTATGAATGTAACAGGGTTGACAAAACATTTTTTTTTTTTCAAAGACAAAGTTTTGAAGTTTTTTTAATGCATGATTAATTACAAGGTACAATGAAACTGTGCCTTGTAAAAAAAAAAGTCTATAATTCCAAACTTACTATGACTATGAGTTAATAATGTCAAATATTGAAAAAAAAATTTCTAGCTTAAATGACAACACTTCCTGAGAATGACACTGTGTGTGTACTATTTACTAAACACTATTTGTTTGACTATTTGCTAGTGAAAAAGATTACAACTTACTGAACATCCCCTCCAGTCGCACAAGACAGCTGACGAAACTGTCAAAGTCGATGTTCATGTTTTCATTGGCATAGCGCATGGTGATGATGTCATAGAGCTGGTTATTCAGACGGAACCCTGAGTGGCACACAAAACACGTGACTGAACAGTGACAAGACCATTAGAGACAGACAAATGTTCTTCAACATGAGAACGGATGAACAGTAGAAATACATGAAAAACATTCTAACCTGCATCATTGATGGCGTTTCTCATCTCATAGCTGCTGATAGTGCCAGTATGATCAAAGTCATAGCACTTAAAGATTCCCTGTGGAGAAACTTTAAGTCCATGTGTCTAACAGTCTTGTTTTTTATTTATATAGGAAAGAATGAGGAGATTTCAAACCTGCCACTGTTTGACTTTGTTCCACAAGTGTCTAAACTCTTGTAGGTTAAGTCTTCCTTTTCCGTCCATCTGTGTGATTAGGATTAAGAAAGATTTGCATGCAGATTTGAAATGCATCTGCTACGAAATTAAATCTACTGTACATGAAATGGTGGAGAAGTAACATTTATTATTTCAAAACGGTCAGAATCATAAAACTTTATTTTCTTTCTTTTCAACCCTGTAATGCTGTGAAATTTCCCTCTTTTTTTTAATTTATCATTATGTTTAAGGAAGTGACATCAAATAAGTTTGGGGTCGGTAAGTTTTTCGAATGTTTTTGAAATAAGTCTTTTTTTGCTCAATCAAGGCTGCATTTATTCGATCAGTAAAAGCATTCATATTCTGAATTATTATTACAACTTAAAATAACTAATAATTAAAATATTATTTATTCCTGTGATGCAAAGCTGAATTTTCAGCATCATCCTTGTCTGTAAACAGCCGATCATTTCTTGAAGACATTATATAGAAAAACCACAATCATACAATATAATAATCTACAAAGATACGTACATTTAGACACCACCTTGTTCAAGACATCTTTGAGGTCATTGGCTGAGATCTCCATTTGCTGTAAGACACAAGAATAAACAGAAAGTCAGATGTGGTGTTTATTACACCAACAGAAAACTGTCATGATATGGCTGTTACCACTGTTACCACTGGCATGGCCAATTACCGGTCCCACCCCACCACCATACTCACACTCCCCCCAGCGCTCAGTGGCTCCCCAGTACTCACGTCCCCCGCGATCTGCTGGAAAATGGACAGGAACTGCTGGTCCTCCTCGCTCTCTTCCCCAGTCGAAGCCGGAGCCGGCTGATCAGACATGGGATTTGTAAAATACATACGTGAGAACTGAATTTATTGTCTCATTTTCATGTGAGAAGCCAAAGAATCTGATCACTACTAGATAAAAAAAAGGGGGGGTATTATATGCTCCTTTTTCTCAATAATTAATGCAGATTTTACTTGGACAGCACTGCCCTTTGAAATAAGATTCAAATAAAGTACTGAGAAATAACAGAATGAAGTAAACCTTTGAAAGATTTATTATAAACTACATTTTCTGAAGAAAATTGCTTGCCTCTGCAAAGTCCCCTTGCCAAGAGATTGCAATGTGGTTGCTAAAATGTAGTTTTTGGTGTGTTTCTTAAGTGTTCTGGCTTGTTGTTAGAGCATTGTTAGGCGGTTTCAAGTCAAAAGTGTTCACCCTAAG